TCAAATAGATATTTGAACCCCTGTATTCATTGCAGCATTATTTGTAATAACCACAACATGCAAGCAACCTTATGTGATATGTATACATACACACAGTGGAATATTATTCAGCCATAAAAAATGAAATGCTTTGTCAGAGAAAAACAAATACCTTATGATCTCACTTATATATGGAATCTTAACAAAGAAAACAAAAAAGAATGATAAATACAGAGAACAGGACAAACTGATGACTGCCAAAGGAAGGAATGGGGAGAGATGAAAGGGATGAAGGCAGTCAAAAGGTACAAACTTTCAGTAATAAAATAAGTCCTGAGATGTAATGTACAGCATGGTGACTATAGTTAATGATGCTGTATTCTATTTTTGAAAGTTGTTAGAGTAAATCTTAAAAGTTCTTGTCACACGAAAAATAACTTGTAATTACGTGTGGTTGTGAATATTAACAGACTTATTGTGCTGATCATTTTACAATACATGAAAATGTCAAATCAGTGAATCATAAACCTATAATTCATGTTTTATGTCAATTTAATCTCAATAGAAAAAATAAATAAAATTTAAAATGTGCATGACCTCTGATTCATCACCAAAGTTTATAACTAGCCTAGAGAAGTAGTAATGTTAATGGAAGCCTAAATGTTCATTAAATAGACTAACAATAAGACAAATACTATCGTTATCTTTTTCATGAGATTAAATTTGTATGTACAAATGCAGAAAATAGTCCATTTTAGATGATTAAATGAGTTTTTTAAATTGCAAACCAATTTTCTTAGCATTATGGGTGTTTCCATTATATATTGCTGTGTATAACTTTGGAAGAAATGTTGAAAAGGATACAAATCAAATGTAGATTTGTTAATGGAGCAAGGTTTGCTTTCATCTCTTACTGTAAATAGCTTGTATTTTCTTAAGTAGTAAGATTATAGGTGGTTTTTATTTGTTCTATTAAAATCACACAATGGCAAAGCTGAGCAACAAATCCCAGCAGTCTGGCTCCAGAGAGAGGCCCAGCTTTTAACTACTTACTGAACTGCCTTTACCTGAAGTAGTATATAAAATACAAACTAATATTCTTAGAATTTATTTTATTTAGTTCTTACCTGTCATATTCAGAGTGACTATATTCTCCTGATTTCCAAATAACCTCTTAACACCCTGGAGTCAAGGGTGCCTTTGTTTCACAAAGTCTTGATCCAAACATTTTCTGGCCCTAGTTATTTCCAGAGATCTATTTACATGAAAGAAAGAACAAAGAACTACTTACAGAGCTTTAAAATAAATCTTTGTTAATTGTGCTGTCCTTAAAATTACAACTTAGTTTACGCATTTAATTAAGCCAATTATCTTGAAAATGCTACTGAAATTTTTAATATGCAACCACCTCTCTGGCCCCTTTTGCCTGATTTGCTTGCCATTGTTTTGAGCTTCTGTTTTGAAGCACAATAGCCTCTTTGTTGCACAGCCACAAGTAAAAAATGCTCAGGCTCAAAAGTGACAGGATCCCTTCATCATTCATACCAGGATGACTCCACCCCACCCTCCAGAAGTTCTTAGACTGTAAAGGTTCTCATGTATATACCTGTGAAAACCAAGTCCTTTTAGCTCTGTTCATGTCTCTTCCTACCTTCTTTGCAATTTCTTCTTCCTTAAGGCATTTTATTTAAGAGGAGATTCTAAGTTATATAAAGAAGGCAAAGAACATTTTCTTGTCTATCCAACTTAAAGAATCTTCTTGAAATGAGTTGAAATAGGATTAGTGAGAAAGAGAAAAGCTTCTGCCAAGAAAAGCAAAAATAATTATTGCTAATAGTGCTCAGATTTAATTAGATGGGCAGTTACATTACTAAATTTTTTCCTTATCTCCAGCAGCTTTTAGAAGATTGTGATTTACCCAGCAGACTTTCCAGCCAAGATTTCTTTCATGGAAAATTTTGCTTTACCTAGACAAAATACATGAAAGCAATCTGAAGCACATGTAAGATTAAGGAGGTTCCAAAATTTTTTTCAAAGCATATTTTTTTAATCACTCTGGTCTTTTCCATTCCTTTTTACAATATATTAATCCAGAAGTTTGTGTACCATGAAAGCTACTAACCTGGATCTGAAAATATTCTTTGCTCTTAAAGTTTCAACATAAAACTCCACAATGAACATGATGAATTATTTAAGACTGATATTGGTCTTACCTGTTGTGGGTAAAATTGCAATATTTCCAGAATCTCTTGCCTGGCCTTAGCGCATCTCCACATCAATAGGTGTTTCCAAGGGGTGGAGAGAAGTACCATCTCCCTATCAATAGGTGATTACAAGGGAGAGCCAGGGCATATCTGGACTGGAAAGGTTGGGTGGGGTCCCTTTTAGCAGCTGGTCCATGAACAGGAGCAGACAACTGCTTGTAGGCAATAAATGGATTTCTCCTCCTTTATTTCCCCCTTTTGTTAGGCAGGAAAATAGATATGAGTGGGGTGGAAAGAGAACAAGGTCAGTAAATCTCCCTAGAAAGGTTTCCATTGACCAGTTAAAACTAGAAATCCAGAAATGACCCAGAGTTAATGAGTTAATCAGTTGAAGCTCCTAAGGTCAAGAGCAAATAGGCCTTGAATGTTTGAATATTTCCCAGATGAGGAAAAATATCTGAACACAGCCCATGTCTTCATTGTGTCAATTAGATCATTGTAAGATACACTCTAGCCTGTTAAAAGGCCCACATATAAATAGCAGAATAAAGACAGGGAGATCCCACTTAAAGCCAAAATTGCGTTTTGGAAAAAAACCCAGGAAGTTTAAGAGGAAAGATTCTTAACATACTCTTTAGCAAACAAATAACTGCCCACCTTGGAGGAGGGGCAGACAGTCTTGATTGATATGCTCCCAAACCTGGGAGCTACTATCCTGGGAGAGGACCAAAGCAGTAAATTTCTTGTGTTAAGCTAATTTTGCAGAATTACCTAGAGGACTGATAAGAAACTTACTGTCTCATCAAAGATACTTGAGACCACTTAACAAGTCCACACACCTAGCCCTTTGTCACATTCCTGAAAACTCCTTAAAAGGGGGAACCCCCAACCTTTCAGGATGCTCTTCTCTCTGAGGTCACCCGCACTTTCTGAGTGCAGAACTTTAACTTTTCCCAACCTTTCAGGGTACTCCTCTCTCTCTGTGGTCACCTCACTTTCTCTCCAAGTAACTTTTACTCTGCTTCACTACTGTGTCTCTGCCCTTCAATTCTTTGTAATGGTGTCTCTGCCCTTCAACTCTTTGTACACAACACCTCTCTCCCCCAACACTTTGACTGATTTTGGCTTCAAAGGTAATTTGCCCTGGGCTGGGAACATATTTTCCCCCCAGTTACACTTGTTATTTAGAGAATTCTGCTGCAACATGTGAATTAAAGAAAAGGTGGCCACCAACTAGGGACAACAAAAAGATTTCTAAGGCTTAAATACTGAAGGTTTCATTAACTCTGGATCTCAAGATGGCCATCTGTGAAAATTTTAACTCTAAATGCCATCTGTTAATTAAGTTACAAGCTAAACAATTGGCATCTAAATTCCTGCTAAAAGATAAGCAAGAATGTTTGCCTTTCTCCTTAATTTCCTTGGGTGCCAAGATGTATATTGCAACCCCTCCCACTCTTTTCTTTGTATGACATATCTTATGTAGATAAAAAGGACCCCTTTGAAGTTCTGTCTTTCTTACCTGTGTCCTCAAAGATAAAAAACCTTTGTATAACTTGGGTCCTTTGGAACATATCCCCTACCCTACCTGTAGGAGTTCTGTCTTCCTGGGTGTGTAAATTCTATAATTTGGCTCAAATAAAACTCTGTCTTTATTTTCAAGGTGATCTTAATGAAATTTTCAACCATAAGTATGTAACTGCAATGTACATCTGCATGCAGATGAAAATGGTGGCTATCTTAAAAATCTTCCAAAAATGTATGCCCTGAGTTAGCAGATATGATAATACCATGATGCCCAATATTTGCTGGATTCTTGCATCTACTAAAATTTTTGAGGATTTTTCCTCCAGGGTGAAATGAACCCTTTTTCTGATCTTGAGGTTAAATAAATGAGAAACTTCCTGGTATGGCAGCCACTCCAAAAGGACCGCAATGAGATGACAATTTGACTATAAAAAAGCACCCCATTAACCCCAACTTGCTCCAGGAAATGGCCAGCCATGGAAAACCCTCCACTCTCAACACTGAACAGCTAATCTTCCCTCTTTTTAAATGACCCCAAACTGCTTGCCCCTTTATGGCCAACTAACAACTGCCAATGTACCTGACAGTCAATTAGAACCTTTCTGCTCCCTACATGCCCACCTTAATAAACGTTCACTAATCAGGTACTGTCTCAGAATTCTGTTTTCACATGATAAACTCTGGCCTTTCAAACCATTGAAAGCCTGCTGAAATTAAAGTGATAGCAGAGAATTCCCTTGCTGTTAATTTATGAACAATTAGCCCTTAATTTTTATCTCACGCTTACTTTTGCCTTTAAAATAATTGTATTTGATTCTGCTAAACTATCCCCTAAATACCTCTAAGTCTTTTTCTCCATTTTTATTGTCCTTACTAATAACATTATTATGAAATAGCGAGGAGGTGAACTCTTTGCCTCCCGTGTCCTCATATACATCCTTATTCTAGTGACAATGTAGTCTTCGTAGAAGGCAAATCTGTTCACAATCTTCCTCCTATTTTAGTGGATGACCAAGAGCTGACTGTGGTAATAAAACCCAAATGCTTTCCATTAAGAGGATTGATAGTAATAGGAGGAGAAGTAGTAGTAGAATATTAAAGTTAAAATAAATTAATATGTTAATTTATAATAAATTTCCATTAACCTTGACATATAATCTGAAAGACAGACTTTTTTTTATCTTAGCTGAGATATCAGAGATTCAGGGAAGCTAAGTGTCCTAGTTTGGGCTACTATCACAAAATACCACAGACTGGATAGCTTATAAACAACAGAAATTTATTTCTTACATTTCTGGAGGCTACAAGTCCAAGATCAGGGTGCCAGCATGATCTGGTAATGGTTTTCTCCCAGGCAGCAGATTTCTTGTTATACCCTCACATGGTAGAAGGGGCTGGGAAGTTGTAGGATCTCTTTTATAAGAGCCCTATAAAAGAACACCATATTTTATGAGAGGGTTCCACCTTAATGACCTAATCATCCCCCCAAAGGCCCAGCCTACTAATAACCATCACCTTTGGTGGTTAGGATTTCAACATATGAATCTGAAGGGACACACATATTCAGACCATATCACTAAGTGAAATTTACCCAAGGTCACTTAGCTAGTAAGTGGCAGAGTCAGAATCTGAACTGTTTGTCAGATTCTGAATTCCATGCTTTCAACAAAATGTTCTAACCCACAGCCAAATTAAACTCTCATTATTCTTTCAGTATGCTGTGCTGGTTCAATTCATATGTCCTTGCCTCTGCATGTATTTGGATGGTTCTCATCTTTCTGTTAAGATTTCCCTTACCTGTACTCTTCCCAAGCTGAGATGATTATTCCCTTTTTGCACAAATGCTTTAGCTAAAACTTGCCTCTTCCATATCCCTTATTCCACTTTAATATAATTATTTCCTTACATTAGTTTTTCACTAGACTATAAGCTCTTTGAGGGCAAAGAGCTTCATTCCATTACCTAGTAAAAATGTATTATTCTGACTTATCAGTAATAGGAATTTTCAGAGAAAGGAAAAAACCTTAATTTTTTGTAGTTCATTGGAGCTCTTCAGTGAAGGAAAAAAATGGTAATAGTAATTGTAAGATAAATTCTAGCCGAAATAAGCAAGCAACAAAAGGCAACAAAGGGCCAGGCAGTTTATTTGAGAGCAATTCCCAGATGATGTTCCCAGGTCTGGGTATTACAGGCCGGGGAAGTCACACCTGGTCAGGGAGGTGGGGGCTTATAAGGGGTTAGGAGGGGAGGAGTGGGCAAGCTATCTTAGGGGGCATGGAGAGGTATGATTGGCTAAAGGTGACATAATAGACAACTAGAAACTTTTTTCCTCCCAAGAGGGAGGAGGCTGATATACGGGTCTTAGTTGGCACATCAGAAGGATGGAATTCAGGAAGAGCTGTCCCCTTTCCATATAAGGCACAGACCTTGGGGTCTGGTCTGTTCTCCTTTTATGGTATCTCTCTGTTCTGTTTGCATGTCCTTGTTGTTCCTTCCTCCAGCCTAACATTCCAGCCTTTTGGTCATAATGAGCGACGACTTGATCTGACTACTTCCAGCTGACAAGGGGCGTCATGGGGATTTGGGGCTGGTAATAGGCCGAAGGAGGGGGTTCAGTGGGAAGAGGCGCATAATGGTGAAGTAACATCTGGTTGGTGGCAACCTGGGTCATCTGGGTTAGCCGCTGTTGGAGGAACTTGAGGACATAAGGGGCAACTAAGAGTAAATTACAAACTGTTATTAAGGGGCTCAGTAGGGGCATTAGCCAGGCCATTATGGGGGACTGGAATTCTGGATCAAGTTTACATCTCAATGACTAGTATTAGGATTTAGTATAGATAAGACTGCATTATTGAAATAATACTTTTCTCTAAAATTTCCTTCATTTTTATTAGAAGTAGCCAGATTAAGAAAATAATTAACAGTTGGCTTGATTATTTGCATAAGTGCAGCAAGAAGAGCAATTGATTACATAGGCTTTTTTAAATATGATTTGCTGGAACTTTTTATAAGGAATTTCAGATTGGACTTTTAAAGGCTTCTTGAGGCCAGAAAGCCAAGCCAGACTTGCTATCAGGTTATGCCTGAAGTACCTGTACATTTGGGTGAATTCCTCTCTTCTTGAGGTTCTCAAGACATTCCTGAGGTTCCTGCACTTGCCAGGAAGTGACCTTCTTTACTCACCTGGTAAGGCTGCTGGAAACTCTGTAAGCAAGGTACCAGGCTAGTTCTTCTAAGGGGCTTTGTTGGCTTTATAAAATCAATCTTAGTTCCTTAAAGCTGCCTGTTCATATCTGAGTTTACACATGTCTCTCAGGTATGACATTCCAGTCAAAGCCTTGGTAATGTAACCAGTGTTTTTAATTGGTCTTTTTACAAGGAAAGCAGATTCTTATTGAACTTGTGCAAATAAACATACTGCCATGAAATATAAAAATAGTCACCGAGAGTTTTTAAATTCTGGAGGGATCAGGTAGAGAGAAACATAAAGATTCAATTCTGCTTACAAAGGCAGTCATTTACTAAACTGTTGTCAACTTAAGAGAAAAAGCTTAAAACACTTTATCAACAACATTTGAAACAAAAAGCTACAAAATCATCTTCCTTAGTTTACTTAATCTTATGTAACTAATACCTGTTCTGCTGAAATCTAGTTTTTTACTAGTTTAGGAGTAATAAACAATGAGTATAGATGACAAAAGACTTACAAATGACAATGGTTAAAGATCTGATGAGAGCTTACTGTAAGACAGTTGTCATAAGGAAATTTGGATATTTCTGTAACACAAAACATTCAGTAACAAAGTTTAGCATCATTCTTTTTGACAGTGCTTTTTAGGTAAATATATATCAGATAAATAAGCCAGATTAGCTAAATATATTTTCCAATGAGAAAATGTTCCTCTGACATGTTCCAGGGGCCCTTTGGAAAATATCAGAGTTAACTAGAGGTAAAAGTACTTTTTTGAATTTGATTTTGGGACGTTGTCAGAAGAAAGTTTCTTTGGCACTTGCTTAAATAGGATTATAGGTTGCCATGAAGCAATACTTACCTATTTAACTAGAATGACAAAAAAATACTTCAAAGGCAAATAAAGAAGGTTACACAGTTGTTAGCAAAGTTTAGCTTTTAGTCTTTTTAATATTAAGATCTCATTTTCTTAAATACTCGGACAACTTATTGAGACTGTAAGCATGAGAAACTGCTTTGATTAAACAATTAGAGAACCCATTGCAGTCTTTCAATATTAAGAGCAGACTAACAGTTAATAAAACTTTGTCCTTTTTAACTGGAAATAAAATTCTAATTTTGCTGTGTACTTGATACCGAGACTCATTTGCTTTAATTTTATATAGCATAACTATGTTAAATTCTTCTACAAACTTTTTATACCCTTTTTTTTTTCATTTACAGTTCTCTCTGTAAAAACAGCTGTACTTTAGAACAAAGTTATTTTCTTTTATCAAAAGACATATTCTTTAGGATGCAGAAATGTTTTCCTTATTACTTTAAGTAGTTTTAATTAGAACTTAAAACCATTAGGTACCTTAATTTTTAGTGAACACTGAGAAGCAGGCTATTGTCAACTGTTACACCAGCATTCTTTAGATTGACAAATTTATGAACATTTTATAATTTCTGTAACTATGAGCTTACAGCACAATCTCTCACTACACACAAAGTATATCTTCTTAACTTAGCAAAACAAAGATTCTCAGGCTGCAGGTAGGTAACACACAATTAAAAAGGTGTTCACTTGCCACACTTATTTAGTTCACTTATTTTTAACAACTATGTTAGATTACTTACAAGACTTCTACTGAATATTAGACAAAGCCGAGCCTTTGAACATTTTATTCTTAAAAGATTTAGCAGATAACATTAACTTAAATGACCTTAGATAAACTTAGGCAGCTGATAACCACAAGAACATGCCCGCCTCAGCCAAACCCAAATTAGCATTAATGCTTAACATTTTTTATCAGATTTTCTGGAAGTTTTAGAATGCCCAATTTTCACAAGCACTTGTTTTTAAATCAATTTTTATTAATACCATCCGGAGGTAGGAAAATATTTTTCATCCACACACCTAGACAAACAAACATACAAACTGAGACACAACTACAGTCAGCAACACCCCACACACAAAAACATATACACAGACAGACAAACCGATATAAAGACTTGAGTTACTGATATCCAATTGCCTTCCCTCTCTTCAGCTTCCTGTCTGTGGCTTCTGGAACCAGAGGGTGGGAGGAGCATGTTCTGGTGGGGGAAGAGGGCCGTGAAAGCAGAAGGAGAGGGGGAGGGGGTGGTGCAGCCACCAGAAGAGGAGAGCAGGACAACGGCATGGTTGAGAATGTAGGACTTTAAGATGGAGGCGACACGTGTGAAGACAAAGGACTTAAAGATGGTGGTGGAGAGAGGGGGAGGGGATCGCGAGCTGAGGGAGGCAGGCGATCGAGGTCTTCTGAAAGATCTGAAAAGGAGGAAGGACTGGGCAGAGTAAGAGGCTGACAATCTTTAACTGGAGATCGGGCCAGGAGAACCTGAGTCATTGAACACAACATAAAGGTCTGGACGGGAGTGCAAAGTCCAAAAAGCCTGCACATATGGGACTTCACTCTACTCTCTGCTCCAGTGGCAATAATTAATCAAGTTGGTGAGGAGGCCAAAATCGAAAGTTCCCTCAGGGGGCCAGCGAGATTGATTGTCCAAGGGATACTGAGGCCCGGCCTCAGAGCAAAGAAAGACTAGCTTCTCTTCGCGAACTTCCTGGGACAAATATAGAGTAGCCAAATTAGAAATGAGACACTGCAATGGGGTTTGAGGCTCTGCTTTTAAGGGCTGGTTCCTCATGTATGTGCCAACTTCCTAACTAATCTCGCTGAGAGGAGCGCCCAGCGTCCCAAGCGCGCCAAGTCAGGGGAGATGTTCTGGGAGCCTGGGTGAGGGACGTCTCCCGTACCGCAGGGCCAGGGGTGGGCCGGATGCCCACAGACATCCTGAGGCCTGGGTTAGGGATGTCTCCTGCACCGCAGGGCCAGGGGCAGGCCAGATGCCCACAGAGGGTGGGCTGGATGCCCAAGGGGCCAGATGCCCCAACCTGGACATAGCTATGATTTCTAATGGACCAGGTGAAACAGAGTTAGGAAGGGAAACAGACCAGGGGAAACTGAGGGACTCACCAGAAAATAGTCCATGCAGCGGAGAGCAGGCTGAGGTCCCGGGTCGGGGAAGGAGGGGGCAGGGCCACTGGTGGCCAGTTGGGGCCCCACGCTCATGCTCCTTTCTGGGTTTCAGCACCAAATGTAGGATAAATTCTAGCTGAAATAAGTAGGCAATGAGAGGCAACGAAGGGCCAGGCAGTTTATTTGAGTGCAATTCCCAGGTGATGTTCCCAGGTCTGGGTATTACAGGCCA